AAAAGAGGCTTGGTTTATGATATTTGAGTGACTTTTAAATTAAAATAGAAAATGTTTTAGCAAAAACAATCAAGGGAAAAACATTTTAATATAAAATAAGGCTTTTTTCATTTGTTTTCTTGTTGGTTGTTTGTATTTTTAGAGGTTACGGTTCCAACATCCTGGACAACCTTCTGTCTCGCATGGAGCAATACGCCAACAACCTGGAGGAGCTGGTGGAGGAGCGAACTCAAGCTTATAACGAGGAGAAACGCAAAGCCGAGGCTCTGCTCTATCAGATACTACCACAGTAAATATCCTCCACGGATAAACTGTGTGCATTAAGTGTTTTCTGCAGCAGCAATGCGGCTGAAATGCTTTTATTTTTGGGTTCCAGTTCGGTAGCCGACCAGCTGAAACGAGGCGAGACTGTTCAGGCCGAAGCTTTCGACTCGGTCACAATTTATTTCAGCGACATCGTCGGCTTCACCGCTCTGTCTGCAGAGAGCACGCCGCTGCAGGTCGGTGGAAACCAAGAAACCAGCCCTAACTGGAGGGAAATGAAGCAGAACACCGGGAGATTAAAACTAGACTGACATCTAGTGGAGAAAGACAGTAACTACACCTCAGATTTCCTGTTTCTAGCGAAGGAAATCGCAACAAATCAACTTTTACACAAAATGGGGGGATTTTATGTGGTAGATAAACATGAAATAATGCAGAAATTGTCAACCTTTTTTACTCTGATACCCCTAAATAAGTGCAAACAAATACCTTCAGAAGCCAACTAATTAGTGAAGAGAGTCAACCTTTCAATTAGGCGTTTTCAGATTCAATTTATCACCAGAGCAATAAATCAAAATTATTGTCGTGATAAGAAAATGATAAACGATATGGTAAATGCTCACCCCTAATATGAAACTATCAGAAAACAAAAGTGTATAAAATAATTTCTTTCCCCTTCACATGAATTACTGTGTTTCACCATCAAAATATTTATTTCATTTATTTATTTCGAATATGATAACAGTATATAATAACACACATAAACAAGAAATGCAAAGGACACATATCTTTGCACCACAATATCCTGGAAAACAAATGTAAGAACCACAAGTTTTATTTATGGTTTTTACACAAAGGAATTTTGTATTTCCAGAGGTGTGGATACTTTTGCAAGATAGTAACTTTCCTCCTTTCAGATGTATTACATTATATTTTTATATATTTATAATTATAGAGAACATTTTTTCTTATTTTAACTTTTTTTTTGTTCAAAATTCAACACAAAATGTCTGAAATGTATCTTTTATTGAAAAAAGTAAACTGGCTCCTCTGTTTTGTATTTGTATTAAAAATGATTGAATTTGTTTCTCCCTGCAGGTTGTGACCCTGCTAAATGATCTCTACACGTGCTTTGATGCCATCATAGACAACTTTGATGTTTACAAGGTGAAACTAATATTTCAGTTTAAAATCCTGGGTAGGAGGCGTATCATGGTTATTTTAGATTGAAAAAAAAAAGTAAATTTTCACCAAAAAATCGTAGAAACTTTCTAGAAAAACTTTCTGAGCTTGAAAGTCTACAATTTTCTCCAACAAACTCGAAAATTTTCGACTTTTGAAACCCAAAACTTCCAAGTTTCTTTCTAGAAAATTTCAGAGATTTTTAATCGCATTTCTTTTTACTTTTCCAGCTCAGAAATTTTTTTTGTAGAATTTGTCTCAGTTAACCTCCAAATTTCAGAATTTCTAGCAAATTTTTGACTTTTCAAACTCAGAAGTTTCCAATTTTTTTTCGAGTAATTTTTAAAAATTAATCTAAAAATTTTGGAGTTTTTTGGCTTAAATTTACTCCTTTGTTTTTCTACATTTCCCCTGACAAGCCCCCATAGCTGCCAGTTGGGCTAAATGTTAAACGATTCATTTTCTGCGGTCTCTTCAGGTGGAGACGATTGGGGACGCCTACATGGTGGTGTCGGGTCTGCCGGTCAGGAATGGTAAGCGACACGGTCGGGAAGTCGCCCGGATGTCTCTGGCTCTGCTGGACGCAGTCAAGAGCTTCAAAATTCGACACCGACCCAGTCAGCAGCTGAGGCTTCGCATCGGCATCCACAGCGGTACGGCCGCGCCGCCGCACGCAAACCTAACAGCAAACTACAAAAACGCCCCAATGTCCTGAGTTGTTGGTGTGTTCTCGTCTAGGCACAGTGTGTGCAGGTGTGGTCGGGTTAAAAATGCCCAGGTACTGTTTGTTTGGAGACACGGTCAACACGGCGTCACGCATGGAGTCGACAGGAGAGGGTGAGACCTGCAGGAAACCGCACACGCATCAGCAGAAAACTCCAGCATTTACACCTACAGAACCCAGAAGTTAGAACTTTACAGAACCACCATGCAAAGTTCAAGCACTATTCATTACATATAAGTAGGCAAATTAAATGTGTTTACAAAGGTTGTTTATCTTCTGCTGGACAATTCAACTCACACAGAATAATAAAATCCACACTTGCACATGAGTTTAACTGGCTCATGTCTATTTTTATCTGTGTTTATTATAGAAGCTAATATTAGCCATATTTCTTCTCTAAAAATGTAACCTATGGCACAATTTATGTAAAAAATATAAATACTAATTAGAACCAAAACGATTAATTGTGATTAATTGAAATAATTTACTAATTTAGCAATCGATTAATCGTTAACTTTAGTGTACAGACTCAATTAGAGGACATTTTCTGAAAGAACGATACACTCAGAGCTGCAATTAAGCCAAAACTGTACAAAAATATAAACATTTTGCATTTAAGATAGCACAGTGACAAACAATAGATTCAATTCAGTTCAGTAATGTCAGACATGTTTCCCTCTCAGCCCTCAAGATTCACGTGTCGGAGGCGACTCGTCAGGTCCTGCAGGAGTTCGGCTCCTTCCAGCTTCAGCTCAGAGGGGAGATTGAAGTGAAGGGCAAAGGTCGCATGAGGACGTACTGGCTGCTGGGAGAAAATGAGAAGAACTGAGAATCAAACAGCTGGACGGTGTTTTCAGACTGACTGATCCAAGCTGGTTTCTCCAGGGATAAACTGTAGAAAAGAGTAGACACAGACAAGACGAATGTTTCATTTGTAAGATAAAACATCAAAACTTGTGTAAATACATAATAAAATGGGTATTGTTACTTTTGTTTAAACGTCTCCTGGTAGTTTTCTGTGTGCAGTTTGCATGTATTGTGTTTCATTTTTATATATTTAGAATAACCGACAACATTTTTCATATTTTAACATTTCTTTGTTCAAAAGTCAACGCAAAATTTCTGAAATTTGTCTTTTATTCAAAAGTGTATTTAAAATGAGTTGAATTTGTTTCTCCCTGCAGGTTGTGATGCTGATAAATGATGCATACAAGGTGAAGCTAATATTTCAGTGTATTAGGGATATTCCAAATTTTAAAAAAAAATTACATTTCCGCTAAAAAATCTCAGAACTTTTTTAGAAAAAACAGGGAAATGTCAGAGTTTGAAAAGTCACACAAGGCATAAGTTGGTTTTTCTGCAGGTTCGCATGTGAGCAATTAAAACACACAAACTTTATTTCTAATATTTTTGATGATTTTCCACTTACAGGTAAGGATAAAAGACATTTAAGATTAGAATATTACACCTGACAAGTAAAACAATATTTTTAATGCAGGAATGTGAACTAAATGAAAAGCATGTTTAATAATATTTTACTTTTAATCTGACAAACAAACCTTAACAGAAATTAACACATATTCTAATTTACTAAATATTATTGTATTTTATGAGGCATGTCTGTGTAGCCCTGTGATAGACTGGTGATCTATATGACAACCTGTAATCACTCTTTGAAGGTGTTTATGGATATATTACCAAAAAAATTACATTTAATTAGTTTAATAAACAGGTATGTGCTTGGTACAGTCCACAAGTACAGTAACTTTATGGAGTTGTTAAGGTATCAGTTTGAAAATACAGAGTTTCAGGAACTTGCACTGTAACATGCTGTAGTTTTAGGTGATTTGAAATATATTTTATTAAATATTCCAGACCCATTTATTGGCACCACTAGTAAAGATGTATAAAAAGTACTTTTTTTATTTTATAACATGTGCATAATCTCTCAGTGAAAATTTTGGAAAATGTTATTGAAATCATTTAGTCGGGGTAAAAGTCTTGTGCCAGGAATTACCATTTGTAAGTATTAATTTGCATTAAGTTTTAGTCTTTAAAATACTGAACTTTGAACGTAAATTTTATTTTATTTCTGATGGCATTGTTGTAAAATATAAACTTTTTTATCAGTTCCTCAGAACCTAAGTTATTTTTTTGCCAAGTAGATTTTTACTCTTACTTGAGTAATTTCTTGGTCGACTACGGTTTAGTTTTACTTGAGTAATTTATTGGTATAATTGGAGTGCTACTCTTATTTGACCAGATTTTTTGGTGGTAGTTGTTTTAATTTTCCCGTGTGAGATTATGCTATTACAATAAAATATGCAATCATTTTAAGCCTTTCCATGCATGCTTACCAGGGAAATCATGTGTTCTCACAATTTTTTGCATTTATACGTTACTTGTAAACAAGATAAAGTTGTTTCGTTTCCATGCAGGTGGATGCCTGTATAGTTAGTTATTCAGGGATTGGCCTTTGATTCTTTAGCTTGCTATTGGTTGTTACTGACGTTGCTCAGACCAACGTGCAACCTGATTGGTCATTGGGCTCCGTTGTTCACGCACCGTACCCCAGCTCAGTCTGTGCGGATGTCCGTTATGTTACTGTGGTCGGACGGTGTTACGGAGTCAGACTGGTATCCAAGCTGCCTCCAAATAAGTTTTAAAAACACATATCAACTGGCCGAAGTGATTCACAGCGAGGCTCTGGCCCGGGCCACAGCCCCCGTGACTCTCCATTACATCGATACAGACACCCACAACATCACTGAAACGGTAGTCCCAACCCAGCACAGCTCCGCGGGGCCCCGGCGAGGCGCGGCGGGAGCAGATGGAGCCTGCACCGGCAAAGGCGAAGCCACAGGGCCGGCTCCTGGTGTCCACCCAGCTGGATGCTAAAGACGAGTTAGAGGAGGTAGGGAGACCAGGACTGGTTAGCTTGGATACCTAATTTTATTTTGGATGAACCGAGACAGGACGTTGATATAATAGACCCAATTAAATTAAATTTGTGCAGAAAAGCCAAAGGTACAAAGACATGGAACCATTTTATCAAGTGCTGCTGCTAACAGGCTAGTTAGCATAGCTAGCAGAAGGTTAGCGGCGGTAGTTAACAGGAATAGACCTGTGAGGTGTGTGAACACCTTGCTGAAGACATGGAGCTGAATGAGATAAAGTTGTAGTGTTTGTTTTCAGTGTTTGGGCTTTTAGAAACGCTGCTGTTTCTATTTACAATCTCCAAGTTCATGAAATATAGCCTAGCATGCTAATGCTACGTAAACATATGGATGAGACCTATGTGACAGTTGCGCATGCGTCCTGTTTCACATGTCAGAACTGTTGATACCCTGTTTATTTTTTATTAAATTATAACTACTTGTGGAATCGTCCACGGTTGGTTCAGAAAAGCAACCAAAGAAAAGTGCGTTTACTTTCACTTTTCCTCTTTAACCTGAAGACGAAAAGCTGAAGGTGCACTGATTGCACCATTTGTAAGGCCACCATGTTTACCTTGACTGACTAAAAATACCACAATATTATGGTATTAACACAAAGATTTAAAAGTAAAATCTATAAAATGAGGGAGCTGGTGTTATTTAAACCACAAAAGCAACAAACATTCATGCTTCTGCTAAGTAAATGTTGAATTGTTATTGTTACATATTTAATCTTAATTTATTGTTTTGATTCTGATGCCAATATTTATGCATTGTGACTAGTTTTAAAAGCTTAGTGTGTAGAACATTGCAATATTTATATTCCAAAGGACAGTTTGGAGTGCAGTACTTCTTGGTCAACATGTTCCAAGCGTTATGAACTTGCGGTGTATGCCAATGCAATATTTAGCCAATTGGACAGAGTCTCATAGCAACACAATGCTAAAGTTTACAAAGGATAAAGAGAGAAAAGAAGAAAGTAGGCATATATTTCAACTGGCACCCAAAAATCAACTTTTCTTTTGCTATTGTAGTTTCAAGAATTTATAAAATTATTGCAAACATAAAAATCATTTGTTCTTTGTCATTGCTTGTAGGTACATGGTCAGGGCTTTTTGCTGAAGTTTTAATCCACTAAGATTGAACTTTTAGCTGAATTTCTGAAATCAGCCTAATAGCCTGTTGGTTAATGTCTTTAAATACCAAAAGGTCAACTAGTTTATACATGAGTGAATTCTTCTTATCCTAAGGAAAGGTTCAAACTCCATAAAAAAAGTATCTGTATTATTATTAGAGTTTAATGATGGTGTTTACATTGGAACACATTGAATTAGCTTATTTTTGTTTCAAGATGAAGTATTTTCTGTCGCGGGTTTAAATGGTCATATTAGGACAGTTTTTTTATTGCACAAATCGAAGATTGTTTATTGAATGTTTCACGTTAATACTTAAATATATTAAATTAAGACTATGGCTACTTCAGGTTCCACATTTCACGACTAGAAATATTTTCAAACAGTCTACTTGTCTTTCAGCCAGCTGACCTGGAGTTTGTGTTGGTGTGTTTGATGGTTCATGTTTATTTTATGTGTTCCAGAGATTGGAACGGTGTGTTGTGATCGTCCAGGCACTGACCAATGGGCTGTCAGAACGGGAAGCCAACGATGCACTCACTGCCAACGTAAGAAACGCTCATTTTGACAACAAAGTTAACGTAGTACGATAATGTGGGTCGTCAAATTAAAGGCTGGAGTTTTCTAAATGTTTTTGTGTGAAATCATTGAACAAACTTCTGTGTATCCTTTGTGCAGGTGTGTAAAGGCCAGCAGCAGCATGAGGAGGTCTGTCTGGGTCTGTTTACCCTGGTCCTCACAGAGCCGACCCAGGCCCAGAGGGTGAGTCGCCTCTCCAGGTCTGCTCTCCTTCAGCATCACTGCAACTGAATCATAACAGCCTTCTGATCTGGTGTGTTGGAACAGTGCTACAGAGATCTGACGCTGGTCAACAGGGACGGGATGAACATAGTGCTGGTGAAAATCAACCAGATCCTGATGGAGAAGTTCCTCAAACTGCAGGACAATCCCAGAACGCAGGTAGAACCCATTGTCGATGTGAAGGAAATAAGACAAATCAACCAATCAGTCGAGTTTATTTGTGTAGCAATAAGGCATTTCAAAGTGCTTTTCGTCATAAAAACCAGTAAACATTACATTTTTCCATCATTACACATCAAATTATTTATTTATGTTTAATTTATTATGATTCTAAGCAAGAAGGAACTCAGTGTTTCAGCTGTTTTACAGTTTTCAGGAAATTTGTTCCAGATTTGTGGTGCATAGAAGCTGAATGCTGTTTCTCCATATTTGGTTTTGGTTTTGGTTCTTCAGAGCAGAACCAGAGCCAGAAGACCTGAGAGGTCTGGAAGGTTGATACAACAGCAGATATTTAATGTATTGTGGTGCTGAGCTGTTCAGTGATTTATAAACTGACAACAGTATTTTAAAGTCTCTGAGCTGCAGGGAGCCAGTGTAGGGACTGTAGAACTGGGTGATGTGCTCTAACTTCCTGGTTTTAGTCAGAACTCCAGCAGCAGCGTTCTGGATCAGCTGCAGCTGGAGGATTGTTTTAGGCAGACCTGTAAAGATGTTGTTGCAGTGATCACTGCAACTAAAGATAAACACTTGGATATGTTTCTCTAGATCTGTGTGCTCAGAGTATTAATGGTTGGTTTGTGTGCAGCTGGTGTGGCTGGTCAGGGAGCTGGTGAAGAGTGGAGTAATTGGAGCCGACGGGGTCATCATGACTCTTCTGAAGCAGATTGCAGGTTAGATTCACACAGACTTCGTCTTTTATTTCAGAAACCAAGCTCTGTTTGTTCTGATGTTGCTGTTTGCTTCTGCAGGCGGAGACATCTCCGCTAAGAACATCTGGTTGGCCGAGAGCGTCCTGGACATCCTGCTTGAGCAAAAGTAAGCCTCACTCACATCCGTTCTCTAAAGAGGGCCTACTATGAAAAATTCACATTTCATGTGTTCTTGTGCTGGGTTGGTCTTTAAGAAGCAACCCAGACGCTTAAAGAAATCACCCAGCTGTTTTTTGGCAATGCGAAACGAGCCATTTCAAAAATCTTCCAAATGTTGAGTCGCATTTGATGGGCTCTGCACTGTTACCTAGCAACCCAAGCAGACCTCCAGCACATTTAGTCAGCTGTATGCACTGTACAATGGCTACTGGAAGAGTCCAGCAGCCAGCAGTAGAGACTAGTGTTTTGTTGTTGACTTGCCATCCAGAAACCACTTGCTGCATTCTTGCTGGATGTGCAGGAGGCTCCGCTTCTGCTTTTCAAAGATTTACGGTTGTATAATTGCGCATGTGTTTGTAGCCATTTTTACAATGTGTGAGTGTAAACGTTGAGTCACAGCATTTTATTTGGATTTAAAGTAACAGATACCCAAAAACAACTTATAGGAGCTCAAAATAGGCAGAACTGACCGGATTAAAATCTTACATAAGAATAATTTGGTGCAAAAAATGTGATGAAAATGTTTTTAAAGCCTGTGGATCTGTCCTAACTTGTTCAAGGAATCATAATAGATCATGCTTACAGTTTGGTGAATTTTCATGATTAAATCTCTAAATGTTTTTGTTCTCTGAAGGGAGTGGGTGTTGAAGAGCGGGATGCTAATAGCAATGTCGGTGTACACCTACCTCCGTCTGATTGTGGATCACGGCACGCCGAACCTGCTGCCTCTGCGCCAGAAGGAAGTGGACTTCTGCATCAGCATGCTGCGGGAAAAAGTGAGGAAAGGAAGATCTCCTGTTTCAGTTCTCGTTCTCACGTCGATAACTTTCTCTCTCTGTGTTTGTAGTTCATGGAGTGCCTCATCATCGGCAGAGATCTGGTTCGTCTGCTGCAGAATGTCGCTCGGATCCCAGAAATGGAGCTGCTGTGGCGGGATTTGTTGCACAACCCGCAGGTTCTCAGTCCTCAGTTTACAGGTGAGCTCAGCTTCACTACCTGAAAAACGGCCACAGGGGCGGAAAGGTGCATTTTTCATCAAATAATCACTTCTTTTTCTTTTTTTTTTTTTAAGATTTAATTTTTGGAAAGACCTGGATTTTTTCTCACCAATGCTTCGGTTTCCATAGTTCAGAGTGACGTCAGCACACAGAGGGCGGCCATCTTGTTTTAAAGCTTATTTTGCAGCTTCTGTTTATTTGGACTTTGAATTGAATTCAGATCAACTCTACAACAAAATATGAGTCTAGCCAAGTTATTGTTTTTTTACGAAAATAAAGTCATGATGTCACAAAATTAAAGTAATAGAAATGAAATAATAAACTAATAAGACAAAAGGAAAAGATCAGAGATTTTACTTTTAAACTGTTTCGCCCAGTTCCAAATGTTGTTATGCTGTCGTTTTCTTTTATCTTTGTTTCCTGACATGTCTGTCTCCGACTGCGATGTCGTTCCTGCAGGGATCCTCCAGCTCCTGACAGCTCGAACGTCTCGGAAATTCCTCGCCTGTCGACTGACTCCAGACATGGAGACCAAGCTGCTGTTCATGACCTCCAGGGTAAAAACATAACCCAGAAGTATTCACACCCTCTGAGCTTCAAACACAAACCTTAGGGAACTTAATGACAGTGATTAAAGCTGTGGTCTGAGGCTCTTAGTGACTCAATAACTCTTGATTTAAATATGAATATGAAACAGATGCAGGTCAGTTTTTAATTGCTGGGCCTGTCACTTTAACAAATTTTTCTGGACGAAAAATTGATGCAGAAGTTATTATGATGAACGATGACATTGTTGTTTTGAGACAATTTTCAAGTAATATAATGGTAGAATAATGAAAGAACATGTTCTCAAAGTAAATAAACTTTAAATTCTAACAAACATTTAGCACTGGAACTGGAAGACATTTTAAATATCCAAAATAAATAAAACAACAGAAACAGCAAATAAAATGAATTATAAAGTCACAGTAAACATAAAAAACTGAAGACTTTTGTCATCTAGTTTTTATCTGAAACAGAAAAACAATAAATGATACAAATGGAAATTATTCACTTTGTTTTAATTTATCATGCGATTAATTGGTTTATTGATTATTGCGACAGGCCTAACAATTGCATTGAATTTCCACGACAAAATTACACCAAATTTACTTTTAAATCTGTTTTCTTGTCAAGTGGTCCTAGTTACCATGACAACAGAAGTAAAAGAAAGCTTGGAAAAGATTAGAACTTTGCGTTGCGTTTTTCTGAGTAGATTTTGATTTAAAAGTCGTAATTTTGTCCTAATTTATTCTGAACTTCAAACTAAATTCAAATTTAAAAATACATTATTGAACCCAGAGGTAAATTTACATCTTCTTAAAGAAGATCATCACACTTTTCATATTTTAATTTGTAAAGTAATTATAAAACTATGTATCATTTCCTTCAGCTTCCCAGTTTTGCTGTATTTTGTGTTGGTTTGTCTCATAAAACCAGTTTAAGTCTGAGGTTTTCAGTCAGATTACGGAGATGTTGAAGGGATGTGATGAAAGGCTCTGGTCGTGTGGTTGAATTTGCGTCGTCACCTGCGCCCAGGTGCGTTTCGGGCAGCAGAAGCGGTACCAGGACTGGTTCCAGAGGCAGTACCTGTCCACGGCGGAGAGCCAGTCGCTGCGCTGCGACCTGATCCGCTACATCTGCGGCGTCGTCCACCCCTCCAACGAGGTGCTGAGCTCTGACATCCTGCCGCGCTGGGCTATCATTGGCTGGTTGCTCACCACCTGCACGGTAAGAGGTCGCGACCCCAAGCTCCCAGGGGGAGGAGTGGTGTTTTTTAAACAAGCTAACTTGTGATCTTTTCCTGCAGTCGAATGTGGCGGCCTCCAACGCCAAGCTGGCCTTGTTTTACGACTGGCTGTTCTTCAACCCAGAGAAAGACAGCATCATGAATATAGGTAACAATGAAACACCTGGCAGTTACTATGGAAACCGGTGTAACCATAAATATACAAATAGTTCTGGATCTTCACATATCAATATTTAAAGCAGGTTTCAACAAATGTTTTATGTTTTGACCCATTAATTTATGCAATATTTAAAATCTGCTTTATAAATGTCTTAAAGAGACAGCGCAGCTCATGTTCTGTTTTATATTTCCCCAGTCCGAGATCTCCTGATCAATACCAGCTTTCAGTTTCCTTATAGTCATACAAAATCCTATTATGCGAAATTCGTATTTGCATGTTTTCAAGTCTATTTGGGTTCAGCTGAAGAGTTAAAAAAAAACTCCTGCCCATTTCTTGGCAATGATATAATATCTTTTGGTGTCTGAAAAACGACACGTTTAAAAAACATCCTGATTGTTGAGTCACATTCAATGGGCGCTGGGTTGTTACCTAGCAACTCAGACAGAGCTCTGTCTGTTACCTAGCAACCCAGGCAGAGCTCCGGAAAGCTTGGTCAGTTGCTTTTACTGCTGTATACATTGGCCTGATGCAATTAATCAATTAATTGCATGAAAAATTAAAATAAGGTCAATAATTTTCACTTGGTGATTTATGGTTATTCTTTTTTCTCTCTTTCTGCCAGTTATTGGTAAAACTGGATGATAAAAGTGTTCAGTTTGGTGCTTTGATCTCAACTAACCTTTTTTTTGAAGGACAGATTTGTTTGGAGATTTCATAATTAATTTTATTTATTGTTTTGTTTATTTATTGTGGAAATTTAAAGTATCTTTCAGTTTAAGTGTTAAATGTTCATTTGAATTTAAAGTTTATTGAGCTCTCAGAATGTGTCCATTAGTATTATGTTACTTGAAAATGGTCTCATAAAAACAAAATTATAGTTTATTGCAGTAACTTCTGGGACAATTTATCATTCAGCAAAATTTGTTATCATGACAGTCCTAAATATGCGCTGTACAATGGCTGCTGGAAAAGACAAGTGTTTCGTTGTTTACTTACCATCCAGAAACCATTTGCTGCATTCTTGTTGGTTGTGCAGAAGGCTCCACTTCTGCTTTTCAGACATGTTTGGTTGTATAATTTTCCATCTATTTTGGTTCCAGAACCGGCCATCCTTGTGATGCATCACTCCATGAAGCCTCATCCTGCCATCACAGCCACGCTGCTGGACTTCATGTGCCGGGTAACACGCAACCTGGATGCTAAAATACACACAAATACACACAAAATTGTTTCCAATGAGTAACACATCTCCTCCTCATTGACCCCTCAGATCATCCCTCACTTCTTCCCCCCGCTGGAGACTCAGGTCCGGCAAGGCGTCTTCAATTCACTCAACTTCATCATGGAGAAGAGGGTGCTGGCGTAAGAGCTGCGTCTCATTCACTGACTTATGTTTTTTAAAGTATCTACATGTTCTCCTCCCTCTAACTGATCTGGTTTGTCTCTCAGTCACCTTGCTCCTCTGTTTGATAACCCAAAACTGGACCGAGAGCTTCGCTCGATGCTCAGGGAGCGGTTCCCCGAGTTCTGCAGCCCGCCGTCTCCTCCCACCGAAGGTAGCGCATGCACACACTGAAAGCCGCTTCACAGTAAAACTCAACAGGAAACACCTTGAGCTGAAATGTTTCTGCGCCCTGCAGTGAAGATGGAGGAGGCGGTTTCCATGGAGATGGACAACCACGTCCTGGACAAGGAGGAGGGCTGCTACGACCACACGGAGGCAGCGTTCAGCGATGATGAGGAGGAAGTCAACAATAAAGGTAGAAAAACGGAGGAGATTCACTGCAAGCTAAGGGTGCTCAAAGTACGGGGCGGGGGCCATTTGTGGCCCCTGGACTGACTTTCTATGGCCCTCCCCCGAGGGGGGCAGATTCATCAATTACGTTTAAAGATTTTTAATCATATACATAAATAAGTTAAATAAAATAATTGGTACCTCTTTAGTACTCTATAGTGGGTTGTTTTAGGGCTGCAGATGTTCCTGGTGGGACGTGACATCACTCTAACCGTTGACCAATCACTGTGCAGGAAAAAAGAGGGAGTTCCGGTTCCATCCGATCAAGGAAGAGGTGATAGAGGAGCCAGCTGACATCACGCCCTGGCTCGACCAATTAGACGACACCATGAAGGAGAAGGTGCAGCAGATTCAGAAGACCAGGTGAGAGCTCAACGCCGCCCCCTTCAGGTTCGGTCTGGAAGTACGGCTGTCTCCATAGTGATCAGGTTTCTGACGTCTGTCCTCCTCTCAGTGACACGGAGACCCAGTGCGAGGTCATGCAGGAGGTTGTGGATCTAATCATGGAGGTCAGTTCACTTTGACACAAAGCAGAAAAAAGTAGAAATTAATTAATTTGATCAAACAAATCTGTTTTTTCTGGAATCTTTAGTCAAATTTTCACAGTGAAAGAGAAACTGTGATGGGTGCTGCAGCTTTCTGTCTGTTTAGGTCATGTGACAGTTAGCACAAGCCTAGCTTTGCTTCTGCTTTTTAATTATAACAATAGTTAGAACAATTAACGTGCATTTCAGTGAGTTATAAAAAGGTATTTGTTTTCTTATGGGCCATAATTAAAGCTGCAGTATATAACTAAAAAATATTTTTTTACATATTTGTTGAAATTTTTACCATGACAGTATAAAACACGTAGTCTGAAAAAACAGAGGTCCTTCCTTCTTCCAGCGCCAACTAGAAACAACCAATCAGAGGCAGGAGGCGGGTCTTAGTGCTACTCAACACCTCTCTTTCCCCCTTTGATCTGTGCTAATGCTGCTACAGCTAGCATAGCCTGTTGTGAATGCTATAGATAGTTAGCATGGCCATGGATAAATGATTTTCCTCTAACGATAAGTTGTTTCTCTGCCATTATCATGTTTAGCAGTGCTTTCACAGGGTTGATTAACAGCGTTAAGACCCTCTTCCTGGCTGTGATTGGTGGATTCTGGTTGGAGGTGGAAGAGGATCTTTTCACAGATTGTCTGTCCCATGTTATATTGTCACAACATGGTGAAAGTTTTAACAAATATGTAAAAAACATAATTTTTATAAAAATTGCATACTTTGATCCGGTTAACCGTTTCAGCTCCAGAATGAGTTCTTCTTGTTTTCCAGGACGACTTCGACACGGAGCAGATGTCGGCTCTGGCTTCCTGTCTGGCTGAGCTCTTCAAAGATCACTTCAGAGGGGAGGTTCTCCCTGAGGAGATCACCGAGGAGTGAGTCCGTCCTCCCTGACCCGACCCGACGTCCCTCCGCTGGGCGCCGGTCCGTTTGACGCCTCCGCTGCTCTCTGCAGGTCTCTGGAGGAGTCCGTCTCCAAACCCGTCTGCCTGATCTTCAGGAACCTGGTCACCATGCAGGAGGACAACAGCGGCTTCTCGGTGCTGCTGGACATGTTGGCCGAGCTTTACCAGAAGCAGCCGAAGATCGGATACCACCTGCTGTACTACCTGAAGGCCAGGTGAGGAAACGGGCCAACGTGTTTTTTTATTATTATTATTGACCCTTTGCACGTATTCAGAACGCAACACAATCTCCCATGATGGGCGTTAAAACAACTGATGCGCTTCTGTAAAGCCTGTCAAAAAACTACAGCAGTGTATTAGTATGGAGCTAAATTAGTCTCATAAAGATTCACAAAGCGTACAATGAAATTTGTAAGCTGGCTTTACGGTTGTTTTTCATCTTTATTTTCCTTTTATTTTCCTTTTTGTGTTCCTGAATCAATGCTGCGTAGTATCGGCGCCTGCAGGAGCGTTGCTAGCGTTAGCGGCTAATAGGCGACGTCCCAGACATTACATTATTTGATTCATGTGATCATCTGTGCGTTTGTGTTGACAGCAAAGCGGCGAACGGGAAGATGATGCTGTACGAGTCGTTTGCCCAGGCGACGGCGCTTGGCGACCTGCACACGTGTCTCATGATGGACATGAAGGCGTGTCAGGAGGACGACGTCCGGCTGCTCTGCTACCTCACGCCGTCCATCTACTCCGAGGTAAACACAGGCTGACCTCTGACCCCGTCCCTCAAAGAGGTTCTGGAGAGGCTGTGTTGAGCAACTCCTCCCCCACATGTTGCTGAACACATTCCCACTGAAAGCGTGTGTTTAGTTTCCAGATGAGACGCTGCGGAGCGGCGAGCTGCTCAACATGATCGTAGCCGTCATCGACTCCATGCAGGTAACTCCAGTGGCGTCAGAGCAACACCATGAATGTTCTTAAAGGGCCAGAACGTATGACATGCAAAACCCCATAAAAACTGTTAAAATATCAACAGAACGTGTCTACATTCGATAAGCACTTCTTAAAATTAAGCATCTTTTCTCGTTGATCCACCAGGACTTTACGACAGTTTTCACAATTCTTTTTTTTTTTTTTCTTGCTATCAAAATTACAGATTTTGTGGAACTAATTTAGACATATTTGCACTCATGGATGACAGTTACTCCAACTTTTAGTTACTCGATGTATCAGTGAAGTCAGTAGGAAATGAGTAAGAAACACTGCCACCTGCAGGTCGGAGGTAGCATCACTTAATCCTGACTTTCATGAGGGAATTTTTCAATGAACTCATAATAAATTTTGCTGGATGACAAATTGTCAGAGAAGTTACTGTGATGGACAGTAATATTGTTTTGAGAACATTTTGAAGTGATATAATGCAAGAACACATTTTCAAAGATAAATAAATTTTAAACACTGGAACTGGAAGACATTTAAAACATCCCAAAAATAAACAAAACAGAAACATCAAATAAAATTAACTATAAAGTCTCTGTAAACAAAATTGTCCTTCAGAAAAAGGGCTTGTTGAGACAGAAAACTTTTTTAATCCAGTTTTTGGTAGGAAGAGAGAAAAGAGGAAAAACAGCAGGAAATTCATTTTGTGATGAATGCAGTTTTAAGGCCGACTTAAAACTGCATTAGTGCGAAAAAATGTGCGCCTGTTTTATGTAGAAATTTCCACATTGGGAAAAAGTGGAGGGACGGATTGATGTAATTTGGCAGTAAACAGATTAAAAGTTGCTTTGATTGATAGAATAATATTTAAGCACATAATTGATTTCCTGAAGTCTTTATTTATGTGTTCATCTAAGGGCCACATTAGAAGTGTTGGTGTGTTAATTAAAGTTTTTTTTTATGACGCTCACCTGGATGTGTCTGTGTTCAGCTACAGGAGCTGATGTGTCACGTGATGATGGGGAACCTGGTCATGTTCCGGAAAGACTCGGTTCTGAACATTCTCAGTAAGGAACCGAGATCCAGAGCGTGGTTCTGCTTCCCGTGGGTTTGTGGACTCCAACGTGTACTGTTTGTTTCTCGTCCTCAGTTCAGTCTCTGGAGTGGGAAACGTTTGAACAGTACAGCACCTGGCAGCTCTTCCTGGCCCACAGCATCCCACTGGAAACCATCATCCCCATCCTACAGCACCTCAAATACAAAGGTGGCAACTTTCACTGGGCAACAGAATGTCCAAGATTAAAATAATAATAACGGATTATTAATGCAATTCATGAGAGGATGGTTGGTTGGTTGGTTCAATGGATGGATGATTGGTTGGTTGGTTGGTTGGTTGGTTGGTTGGTTGGTTGGTTGGTTGAATGGATTGTTGGTTGGTTGGTTGGTTGGTTGGTTGGTTGGTTGGTTGGTTGGTTGGTTGGTTGGTTGGTTCGTTCAATGGATGGATGATTGGTTGGTTGGTTGGTTGGTTGGTTGGTTCAATGGTTGGTTGGTTGGTTGAATGGATTGTTGGTTAGTTGGTTGGTTGGTTGGTTCGTTCAATGGATGGATGGATGATTGGTTGGTTGGTTGGTTGGTTGGTTGGTTGGTTGGTTCAATGGTTGGTTGGTTGGGTGGTTGGTTGGTTGGTTGGTTCAATGGTTGGTTGGTTGGTTGGTTGGATGGTTGGTTGGTTGGTTGGATGGATGGTTGGTTGGTTGGTTGGTTGGTTGGTTGGATGGATGGATGGTTGGTTGGTTGGTTGGTTGGTTGGATGGATGGATGGTTGGTTGGTTGGTTGGTTGGCTGGATGGGTGGCTGGTTGGTTGGTTGGTTGGTTGGA